AGAATAAACTTGCGGAAAAGATGGTATACCGCAAACATGAGGTGCACAAATTTGTACACCATATCCGGATTTCGACAATTAATGTCTCTTCAGTGATGTTAGGAATCGAAACGGTATTTGGAAGGCCATATAATTTACCTCAATTTAGGATAAACTCTTGAATTTTGAAAGAGTCAAAATAGGATGAACGGATCATATAAACCCGAAGGCACATATAATACAAGCCCAAACAAAAAATATAAACAAGTCTAAATTGAAAACAACGTTCAAACCTATGATTGCGTTGGATAAAAACCGCAATTTTTATACGTGTGCATGCAAAACAAATTTCTTGGTAGAGGGGTCTAAATACAGCACAAACAACATTTTCCAAAAGACCAAATGAGTGAAAAAGTATATTTTAACAAAACGCATTTGACTAGCAGGTCGAACAACTGATGTTCTTAAACCCTGCTGACTGCCATTGGCGATTGCCAAATAAACGGATCACAAGATGTAACAAAACAGATCTTATTATTAAATTATTACCAAACAGAAAAGAATAAACTTGCGGAAAAGATGGTATACCGCAAACATGAGGTGCAAAAATTTGTACACCATATCCGGATTTCGACAATTAATGTCTCTTCAGTGATGTTAGGAATCGAAACGGTATTTGGAAGGCCATATAATTTACTTCAATTTAGGATAAACTCTTGAATTTTGAAAGAGTCAAAATAGGATGAACGGATCATATAAACCCGAAAGCACATATATATATATACATACACCAACATAGCCAAACAGACGACCCTCTTCAGCTTTTCCTTTCGAAATGGAAAGCCCAGGAATTATCAGATTTCTATACCACAGATAAGTAACTCTTGGGTTCCATATCTTTTACTTTGATGGTTGCACACAACCATTTATAGACATACATGGAGTGTGTATTTCTACGAAAAGAGATTTTCCAGTTCTTGTCAAAGCTTTTATTCCATATTCCTAAGTTTGCCCAACAACTTGTGATATTTTCAGCTGTTTTGTTCTTTGTTTTTTATGAACTCAATTTCACAATATTCTGCATCTCAGAAATGAATGCAAAACCTTTCAGGATAGTTTCAAATTAGCATTCTGCTCTTTCTTATTGTGATAGAATAAGTTAGAATTACTTCCCCTTGACCGTATTAACAATTCATTAACACAGCTGTTATTTGTATATATTTTCACAAGTTTTTACACGAAAGACTGTATTAAAAGCATTGTGCTTATAAAGAAAAAAATATTTTTAATAAAATATCTTATATACATGAGATGTATCAGAAAATGTAACTTCAGACTTAACAAGGGCGGGAAATTTGAAATGTCACTTGAAAATGAGGAAACATTGGAAACGGCATTACATTTTGCCTTGCAACAAGCCACCTACGTACCCCTCGGAGTTGTTGTGAGGGTTCTTTGACGTGTGAAGAGCTTGGTACTTTCCCGACACGAGGCATTGGGTATTAAGTCCCCATTCTGACCGGACGTGGTTGCGAATTTTGACATTCCCCACAACCAAACGGACGCCACACTTTGATAAGGATTATACTGTCGGTTGAAAGAAAACCAAAAGTGACCATAAATCTTTATCCCAGTAACTAAAAATTATTTTTAGTTTCTACAACCAAGAGTTATATTATTTAAGACATTGATATCACTTCTTCAGTATTTGAATTTTTCATGTAAAATATTTCAAAATTATTGAACATATAAAGATATATTTGTGTAGTTTTTTTCTATGTTAACTGCTTCAACACGCAATTCAAATCATATTTACTGTGATTTGACTGTAAGTGTTGCTCTCCACCTGTTGCAACTTATTCAAAATTTTGACCAAATTGCAATTTGTTTTAAAACCAAACTGTTCTATGGTCAGAAATTTGAACAAACTGCTGTAGAAAACCACAGTCAAGTCGTGAAAGTGCAAGGTGATAAAATAAAGCATACTTACAATCCTATAAGACTTTAATTCCACTTCAATGATATTATGAAAAATCAGTCTAACAATTTATATACAAATTTTATTGTAATTGTGATGCTAAAGGTGATAGGTAGTAATTTTGAATTGCTATACAAATGTCCAAACTAAGCTTTTATACAATTTTTCTTTTGAAAAGTTCTTCTATACTCATAAGAATCACATTAGAATGTAATGTGGATTTTCCAGAAATTATTGCTTTCAAGAAAATACAAATGTCAAGGGGTGTGATTAATGTAATACGCCGTTCATAGTAACTTCCGTTTTAATAAATAATACAATTTTTAAAGTTTAGGTAAGTACAGAGAGTTAGACGTGTTAAAAATAAACAATGTTTTTGTATTTTGTAAAGAATAGTGCTAATCATTACACATGTATGTTTTTACGGCCGCTTCCTCTAGGATACCGTAAATAATATAAGTTTGGATTTTTTTTGAGGAGATAATTGCACACACATTCTACTTTTGTTTTCGTTGTTGATATGTGCTTCTTGATGAAAAAAAAAAAAAAAACTCCCAAAGAACAACATAAAATAGTTTAATATTTTCTTATCCTTTGACGACAACGAAAATAGCAGTTACCTTGAAACATACGATGGGAAATTTCATGAACATATGAGCCAGTAATTTTTCAGTGTCGAAAGTAAACTGTTTTTGCTATTGTGGATTCTAGCTGAAACATTGTTTTTATTAAATATAAGTGTTTAAATTTCGTTTTTTGATATTGGAAACTGGAATGTTAGTTTCGCGTTTTCAGTGCATGATTGAGTTGTCTCCCTTTATCTACCAGATGGTTTAACTTGTTGAATGCATTCTAATCATTTCTGTTATCTTTCATTTAATGTTTTGATGATGCAGTACAAATTTCTATAATAAATTAATTTGTAATCTTATTTTTCGGTTCCTAAATTACTGTCTTATTTTAACATTGCCAAAATGTAACTTCATTTTGCAATCTGCTTAGAAAATCTCAGTTTGGTGGTTCTTCTAAGTACATACATTTGGCGCGTTAATTCCTTCAAAGAATAATTCGTTTACATCAATATGTGTTCTTATTGGTTAAAAAAACAATGAACATCGGGTTAATGATTAATTGTGTATTGTCCTGTGAATTATCAGTTTCATTCCCTTTATGCAACCTCTTCCTGTTTTTTACAACTAGATGATTTTAGAGGAGGGCTGATCATTTTAGACATGCAGTTATTCTCATAGGTATCGACCATTCAGCTTCTATTGTTAATTTTTATTTCATTTGTTACAGAAGAAAAGTTCGAAAAAAAATAGTTTGTTTCAATTCAAGATTAAGAGAAAAAAAATCTCTTGTTTCTGAATGTCATTGACAAAGAAAAGTTTGTTAAAAAAGATAGTTTGTTTTTTATTCAAGTCGAAAACAATTTTTTATCCCGAGAAGAAAAAAAACCATGTCCGCCCAAAAATTAAGAATGATCCATGCCTTATGGATCTATAAAAGCAACTTAAATGATGAATGAAGATGATTATAGATGAATTAATAAACAAAAGTTTCATCTTTACACAACTACCATATCAAAAACACAAATAAAAACATGTTTTTTTCGGCGTTAGGATAAACAAAGATATTTTTCAGATTTTAAACACTAAAAGATTGAAAATCGTATCATGTCAGGTAGTAACATGGTTAACGTGTACTTACAACTAGGATATACATAGATACTTTTTTCGTTTTTTTTTAATTAAAAAAAATATTGATAAATTATCATATCAGTTAGAAACACGTTGAACGCGTACTTTTGTTTAACAACTAAGATATACATCGATGTTTTTTTTTCAGTTCTTTTTATAAATTAAAACAGATTGATAAATAGTCATATCAGCGTTGAACGTGTACTTTCATTTTAAACTGTGATTCTTTTAAATTGAAAAAAAAACCAAAGGAACGACATTAATTATATATTTTAATGTTTTGTCAGGTAATTATGTATATACAATCAAATTGACAATTGAAGTTCGTAAAAACACAGATGAAAGCAATTCACGAAAGTCTGGATAGGGACCAGAGTTTTTGTAAATGATGTCACACATTTCTCAAAAGGAAACTATTTTTTGAACTAGGACTATCTGAAACAATTCTGGTTAATAAATAGTGTTTTGATGATGTCAATTTTGTTGTCAGTGCATGCTCGATTAATCTCCCTTATCACATGATAAAATATCAGAAATATAAGTATAATATCAAAAAAAATTCGTATATCCTTCATATAATGTTTTGATTGGTTGATTGATGGATTATTTGTAAATAACGTAACTTTTAGAACTCTTGGTTATATCGGGGCGGTCAGTCTTTATTGGTAGATGAAGCCGGTATACCAGCAGATAACCACCAAGCTTCGGCAGGAAAACTGGCAATCATCATCAATTAAGATCGGAGTGTGACGCACCTGCCACAACATCAGTATTGAAAGGCGAGCTATCGCTATTGACTGCTGGAGAGGAACTTCTTAGACCACTCGTTCACCGAGGCACCTATAATTCATTGAAAATTCCTAAGACATTTCTATAATACAAATAAGTGTGCATCTTATTTTGTGGTATCCCAATTACATTCTTTATTGACATGAGTCACATGACCATCATCAACCTTTTTTCTCTACCATCACATTAGAAATTCAGGGGTTCTGCATTTTATGTAGACTTGGATCCTGCAACAAATGAACCCCTGTGTCATCAAAATTAAATTTTCTGTACGCGTATGGTCCAGTTAGAGCGTGAATTAAATCTAAAAACTATGACTACTTGTGTATGTCCGTTTATTCGTTATGGTAAAAAATAATGAATTCTTGAATGTACAGTTTGTCGCACATTCAAGTCAAAACATAGCTATATCTGTATATATTTAATACGTCAGACCTGACATTACAATAACTTATGCAATGTTTAATTTGATCTCACAAATGAGTAACCCTAATTGCGGAAAGCGAGACTTATGTATATGTATATGTAGTTTTTCCGCCGACAAAGATGTTTAATAATTGGCAATTACCACAATACTTATTTTCATTTTTACTAAGGATACCAAAACTTTGTTTAGTGATTATTTATGGTAAGTCCTTGATAATCAACTATTGTCTTTAGACCTTCATCTCAAATGCGTTAACTAATATGAATCCCAAACGGGGCTCTTTTGGACCCCAGATTCAAAGTTAAATGTCTTTTTAAAGAATATAAAAGAACGCCTCATCATGTATCAACTCAAGTTCTCCAGTTCATTCATTAGGTATCGTTAAACGAATCATCTATTCTTGTCAGACGAAAATGTACTTTCAGACTGAGATAGTAATAGATTAAGCTTTTTTGAAATTATCAGCCGTATCTCTTATTATAGAATGGACGGCGACTAAGAGCTTTGACGAAGAGTGTGTGTTGATCACTAGATATTAAAGAAAGGAGATGTTGGATTTACAATGTACATCAATGAAACAGCAACACAAACACACAATTAACCGAATGACTACTAGATGTCAATATACGTACTGGACAATATTAAAGAGTCTACACCATATTTCAAGCATCTAATCGTCTCGAATTTGACTAGGAAAGGTCTGTCAACTCCAAATTCATTAAATATAAACTCAGAAAGGAATACAAATCAACTGTACGGAAGGATTATCTTGAAGCAGTTGATAAATGCCTTGGTGTGTTTTTTTTCTTTTTTTGGCGTTTGGTTTCTGTCTCATTGACGTACATGCTATACATCCCAATTCCTTTTATTTACCATGGTTGTAAACCTTGTATACGTCTGTTTCTAGGAAACTATACAATTCAAAATAGATCTGCCAAACATATTTAATCAAATAGTTTATCAGTACAATAGCAGTTAGATTCTAGATGGTTGGAACAAGTAGGATGTGTTATTGTTTCCTATTTGCAACCTTAAGTGTTAACGAAAGCATTTAAATTTTAAACAGAAAATTGGCGGCGCCTAAAATAATTTGGCCTTTTCAACTTTTTTTATTCGAGCGTCACTGATGAGTCAGTTGTAGATAAACCACGCGTTTGGCGTACAAAATTTCAATCCTGGTATCTATGATGAATTTATTTTCATTGATAGGATTTGCTTATTTTTATCATCCTAAAAACGAAGCTTTGGAATATGGAATACCCCTGACAGAATATCAGTTATACATGAATTCCACAATGATAAGTCTTCTGGCCTCCATTATTAAGCTGTATTTTTTTTAACTAACATGTACGCAATTGCTATCACTTGTGTCCGTCATCTGTTGCTATCACTTGCGTCCGTTGTCAATTAACGGCTTCAAAAATCTTTTCTTTTGATGGACCAAATTGAACCAAACGTGGCTACACTTATTCTGTGGGATATATAGTTTAAAAATGTATAAATTAAAAAAAAAATAATGAACGACACAATAAAAAAGTAACATGATATGTGTACTTCCGACGAATAAACAATAGATACTGTCAAATAGACGTGCTAGGAAAGGAATTTAAATATACTGCGCTGATGTTACATAACCGGTAGTACAAGACTCTACGTGTGGACTTTCTCAAACTACAATTGCATTGCGTACTATAGTTTACCTTTGTGGTGTGTTTAATACAATATATCGTACAGTTAAAGACTTGTTTGATTTAGGAGTGCAAAACAAAGCTTAAAATACATATATAAAAGGGTAAAGAATGGGAATGATGGATTTTAGGGCCACAAACCTAAATATATACATTGAATGAAATGGGTAAAACATATTTAATAGTAAAAAAAAAACTCAGTTTGTCTCTCCACAAATCAAGTACACAATTCAACAATTTGATTTAATTCTCGTCTTTGATGTCTCCACAAAGTTCCAACAACCCTAAATGATTTAAACGTCTGATGGCATATTCGACAAATACTCGACACGCTAAAATTCGATATTTTTTTGCATTTTCTTTTTTTACCTTCGCGGTTGTTTCTTCTCAATTGGTATAGCGTTACAATTGGAGGACTTTATATCTTAATCGCTGAATTTTATATCTCCAGCGCTGGACTCTAAATCTCAAGCGCTGGACCTTAAATATCCAGCTCTAGACTTTATATCTACAGCACTGCACTTTGTATATCCTGCGCTTGACTTTGCATCTCCATCGCTGGACTTTTTATATAGATCTACAAAAAATTGAAAAAGAAATTTCCCGGTAAATAATTATGCAGGCGTTGCAACAGGTGAAAATGAATATTTTGTTTTCAAAATATCCTCCTGACCCAAAAATAATACAATTAACTTCTACTTATGAAAGCTTCGCGCCACTTTCAACAATATCTTAGTTAAATCGTGGTGTCTGGTCTGTTTTATTGGTTGAGGAAGCCATGATACCAAGAAAAGTAATAGCGACCCTTCACCGAAACATAAATTTAACATTTTGATTGAATAGTGCCCTAATGTGTTAATCTTTTAAAACCTAATTCGATAACCTCATCTGTACGAAATACTAACTGACGAAAGTTGATAGAAAGAAAATGTCAGGTAAATGTGAATTAGATTAAATTACCAGACTGACATTTCTAGATAAAATAAAGATAATATAATTATAATTGAAGGGGAAAAATATAACAATTCGGATATTGAAATATTTTGAAGAAATGGTAATTCTGTAATTCCGCTTTCAAATTTATTATACACGACTCCAACAATAACCCGAATTGACTGATGACTTCTCTATTCTAGAAACATGAAGAAAATATGGAGATGTGGTATGATTGCCCAAGTAGACTGACAACTATCCACCAGAGACCAAATGACGTAAATGTTTGAAACTATAGGTCGCTACTCGGCCTTCAACAAAGAGCAAAACTATAAAAAAAAAATATTACAGGCCCGACATGAAAAGCACATTTTAAATAAATTTCAAATAAGCGAACTTTTTGAAAAAAGATTGATAAAGAGTAAAAAATATGAAAATCGGATTCGGATATGATTCGATTGCAGTGTTTTTATTCATTTATTTTGACTATTTTTGCGGATTTTCCTTGTAGTCGTTTAACAAAAAAGTAAGAAAAGGGGGAACAACGATCTTAAACTTAATCGATAACTACTATGAAACAATGCAATTTTATGATAAAAATATTAATATATATGAACAATGATCGTGGTTTTTTGTTTTGCATAGTCCTGGCCTGTGTATTGAGGAATAAATTCATTTTTCCTTGTTGAAAAATCATCTCAGTAGTATCAAACACCCCATACAGGTAACTATAATGAATGATTTTCTAGGCTTTTTGAGATGGTTCCTACTATAGCCTGAAGAAGTATTGGTATTTAACATCAGCGCCAGAATCGTATTGACTTTTCTAACACGTCTGAAAAAGAAAAGACAGAATCGAGCAGTGAACTAGTTAAAAGCACTGGTCATTTTCCATTTATCCCAAATCTAAATTTGATAAGAGTGAAAATTGGAAAGGCATTAGTAAAGCACTTTAAAGATTATCTGTGTTACAAAGTAAAATAACAAAAATAACTCCAAGGAAAATTCAAAACGGAAAGACCTTTATCAAATTGCAAAATAAAAAGCTCATACACATCAAACGAATGGAAACCAACTGTCATATTCCTGACTTGGTACAGGCGTTTCCTTATGTAGAAAATGGTGGATTAATACTGGTTTTATATCTAGCTAAACCTCTCACTTGTATGACAGTCGCAGAAAATTCCATTATATTGACAACAATGTGTGAACACAACAAACAGACATAATAGGTAAAAATGTCAAAAATTGGGGTACACTACCATACAAAACGATAGACAGGTTCATATCGACCATACATAACGATAGGCAGGTACATATCGACCATACATAACGAAAGGCAGGTTCATATCGACCATACATAACGATAGGTAGGTTGATATCGACCATACATAACGATAGGCAGGTTCATATCGACCATACATAACGATAGGCAGGTTCATATCGACCATACATAACAATAGACAGGTTCATATCGACCATACATAACGATAGGCAGGTACATATCGACCATACATAACGATAGACAGGTTCATATCGACCATACATAACGATAGGTAGGTTCATATCGACCATACATAACGATAGGCAGGTTCATATCGACCATACATAACGATAGGCAGGTTCATATCGACCATACATAACAATAGGCAGGTTCATATCGACCATACATAACGATAGGCAGGTTCATATCGACCATACAAATTTGACGGAATAGGACGACATTATTTCTATATCAACAGGTAAAGTACTTTGGGCTTACTTTTGGAAATTCTTTGAGACGGTATTATTAAGTATTGTTTTAATTTGAACTTGATAGTACTCAAACATTTGAACTATGGTTGATAGTTGTCTCATTGGTTATTATATGAACACATCTACTCACTTTTATTTTTGGAATTTTTCGGCGGGAGTAAAAAGTTAGATTTATAGATTCTCGCCCACCCCTCCCGTTGAATTTTTAATCTTCCGCTTTTCGAAAATTTCAACCTTGATAAATTTTCAAAAGACTTTTTGTTTTTGTTTACATCATCGATACTGATTAGCATCTTTTTAATTACTGACGGTGTTTATGGCTAGACTGCAGATACAGCAATTAACGGTGATTGGCAATTAAACTTTCTAAATATGTTTTAAAAGATCCTGGATCCTGATTATTCTAAATTGATGGTTACGACCATTTTTATATACATGTTATATTTTCTATCTACAAGATATCTCGTTTGTATTTTATAGAGTAATATGCAAAGTGCCTATCAGTATCTTCAGAGAAAGCTTCAGTACTTCTACAAAATGTTAGAGGACCAAAGCAAACAAGTGCCGAACGATGCACGGCAGCACAGATACTGCAAATACATTACAAAATTTGCATCTCATTTCGGCAAAGAGTGGTGTATGGTGGTCGGGAGCACGGCAGAAAGAACCAGGCTGCGGTCAAACATGAATGTAGGCGACTTTGATTACCTGATCATATCAGGGGTTTCCATACCCGTGGACGCCTTGGAACACAGAGAGGATTTACCTTGTTTTGTCTACATCAGAGGTGACAAATTTCAACATTTGTTTACTCACAATCTGGTAGACGGGCAATACTTCCACAGCCGTATTCTAAAGGAAATCGATAGAGAGGCTTTTAAAGTAATGCGGGGTCTATTCCAAGTCTTTACAATGCCACTTGATTCAAAGAGGGAACATAATGATCATGTCGAATTCAACCGTGAAGCTAAACCAGGCATGTGTAAAGAAAACTACGTTGGTTTCCAGATGGTTGGTGGAGCTACCGAAAAAATATATATGAGAAAACAGGACACAGACATGAGGGCTACGAAAAATTATTTCCAATCGGTAATGGACTCAAGTGATTTATCTCCCAGTATGAAATCACTTCTTACCAACATTCTTAGTATACTTGCTGAAATAAAACCAAACGAGGAGTATAGTACTGCGCTGGTACAAACCTTTGGCGGGTTAATAGATGGAGTCACCTCTGATTCTGCAGTCGCTAGTCCGACGTATTTTCATCCAAATAGAAACAAACAAAGAACAGAGGAAAACGATAGACATTTCATTGAAGATTTACCCAGCAAAAAAGTATTCCGGGTTAAATTTAACTACAAATCCAGCAAAGATTTTATTGCTGCATTTCCTCTCGAGGGAAAACTCAAATGTCTGGAAGAATGGAGTCTTCGGATACTGACCAGCGACAAAGTATTGTGGCCAAGCTCGGAAGCTGTTGAAAAAATCTGTCAGTCGGAGGTGTACGTTGTAGCCAAGCCGGCAATTGTTAAACCTTCTACCGATATCGATTTTTGTCTGGGCTTTAATCAGGCGGAAATTATCCTAGCTTCTAACCTTAGTTCCGATCAAAGACTATGTGTCCTACTTCTTAAAGCCCTCCAGAAAGATTACCTTAAACATTATTCTTCAGTACTTACCACTTTTCACTGGAAAACTGCCTTTTATCACCAGTGTGGAAAAATTGATCCTGATCTCTTTGATCGCCGTTCTACAATATTGTTAGCCCTTGAAAGTATATTGTCCTATATGATAGAGTGCTTAGACAGGAGATATCTCAAGCACTATTTTATAGAGAGCAATTTAATAGCTCATTTAACTGAGACAGAAGCCAATGAAATCCGAGAGAAGATACAAAAAATCATTGAAGATCCAGAAGCAGCTCTCCAAGTATATTTCGATATGAATAAAGAATGCGAAAGCTCAAAACAAGAAGAAGAGATTACTATGAAAGAAATGGAAGAATTGAAGACACGCAGAAATGATCCGTCAAATGAAAAACAAGCCGACAAAATAATCAGCATGATGTCAGATTTACAGATAGTAGCCACCAGCAACGATTCTAAACTCACAAAAGCTATTATGGATACGTTGTATATGGTAATTGAGGAGGAAACAGATATTCCATTTGTTAGACCAAATACCCCACAGAAGCAGTGTAGCCTGAACGATCTCTTAGCGCAGGCTACTAGTTATTCCACAACAAACTTTTCCTCACGGAATGAGAAGAAAAGGGCACTAGAAGACTTAAAGGCTAAGGCATTTTACACAGTACTTTCTTCTATTCGTTATAAGTGAGCTTGAACTTGTTTAGTATTTTCTGAGTTATTTGATATACTGTAGCGTTATATAAAATTGATGTATGAATAGGATTTAGTTTTGTGACGGAGGTAGTAGTATGTATTTATTTGACTAGATCTCTTTCAAAGTTTCAATTAATCAGTCGACTAAACTTTATGTTTCTGAATCTGTGATGAAGCGCAGCATTACAAAGATTCAATTTTCCTTTGCCTCGGATTTCGTTAAGGGATTGTAGGAATTTTAATTGTGAGTGTTTGGATTTTTTTAGGTGAGTGTAGGGATCTTGTTAAGTATGTGTATGGATCCAGTTAAATGAGTGTAAGGATTTGCTTTGTGAGTGTAGGGATCTTGTTAAGTTAACGAAGGGATTTTGTTAAGTGAGTATACTCCGAGTAGGGATCTGTTAAATGAGAGTAGGGATTTTGCTAAGTGAATATTGGAATCTTGTTAAATGAGTGTAGTGATAATTTGTTATAAATACTTTACTAATTAACTAGTTGATATTGTAATGAATTTGAAAAAGTATACTGATATAAAATTATATTCAAATCACTGGGGTACGCATATTTTACTTATTATCTATGATCCTTATACGTTTAAATTCATTACCGTCTTATTAAGTGCCAATCTGCCTAAGAATCAGGCAGTGGTGAAAACATGACAAATAAAAACCCACTCAAGTTGACATCATATTATGTTCAAAATGGTGCATGATTATAACATTTGTTTGAAATGCACAAGAAAATAACAATTAAGAGGAGCTAACTCCGTAATTTGCTATCATTCTAACCAAAAGTTATCTAGAGATTTCTCGAATTACCAGACACGCAGAAACAAAAGACCTGCCACTTCTAACTCAGGAGGATGAAGTTAACTACAAAATAGGATGGTTAGGTCGGTGGGTTTTTTTCGGCCATGTTTTGAAATTCTTCTAAATTGCCTGATTCTTACAAAGACTGGCACTTAAATATCTGCCAAGAACACCAGATTCAATAAAGTAGTAAAAATACGATATGAATAATCAAAATCACTGTCCAGGTATCCGGACTCGTGTGGTTGAGTGTTTTTTAAAGCATTGAACTCTCCTATTTTTAATCTAGATCAGTGTCATAAGAAAAGCATTAAAAAAGAACATTTTCCCCCAAAACAAACGATTCATTAAAAAACAGATAAAGTCTATAATACTGGTATTATGGTCAATAGATAACAAAAACACCCAAAACAAAAGTAAATATACCACACCAAAGATTACTCAGTTACTGAAATCAAACTGAAAGTACTTAATAAACCTATTGACTTAGATATCATACGGTACCACGTTTTTAAGATCGGCGGCTGTATTTCCGATCGTATTTCATAAAGTAACGTATTGAACAACGAAGGACGAAACGATGTACAATCCCACATAAAATATGTAGAAAATGTTAATAAAATTAAAAAAAAGTGTTGTCTTGTATCAAACTTTAAATAGACGACTATCTTATAAACCATAGAAGACACAATAATTTAACAGTAATATAATCACATTATATATCAAGCAGTTTATAAAGTTAAAAGGTCAACTATTTGAAATTAATCTGCCTAAACTTGTCTTATGTAACAGTCTGCTCTTCTGGAAAAAAAGTTTTACATTACTGATTGCTGGTACTAATATCCATATATGCGATACTGTGACAGAAAAGATATCTAATTTCGTTTTTCTGTCTAGCTCGCAATATACTCATCACTGCATTGGTCCACATCTAACCATAATTTGATGTATGACAAACGTTGAATAAGTAATACAAGTAATCGAAATAAATTTTTTTTTAAAACATTTACAAGAACGATATATTGAATAACACTTCGAATTCAGCACTCAGTTTGGTTAAATTGTGACAAAACAAAAAGCTAGGGCCGCTTTAAGTCAGAAATTCATGAAAATAACAAGAATCATAAAAAAATTCATTATTCAGAAGAATCAATATTTGTTTTCCAACTAGTTTCACAATAGAAAAACTGCCTCAATTTGAAATTATAATCCAAGTTATGTAATGGCGGTCTTTGAACCTTATTTGTTTCAGCTGATACAAGTCTGTTTCTCTCAAGAAGTATATGAACTTTAAATCCATTGGATATTGGATGTGTACTGATTGATATTTAAGTTTTAGATGCATGTGTTTTGTTCTTTGAGGTTGGCTTTAGGCTTGTTTACTAAGGCTGCAAGTACTCTCAGATCTATACTTTTTGTCTTTTGTGTTTTTGTTGTGTTTTTTATTGTGCTTTGTTTCAATCTGATGAGTTAAGCCCTTTTCAACTGATTTTTATAGTTTGTTCTTATGTTGTACTGTTAAACCACTGTCCGAAGGGGATGGTTTGGAGCCAGAAAACATGTTTGACCCCGCCAAATTATGTGTGTGCCTGTTCCAAGTCAACAGCTTGCAATTCGGTGGTTGTTGTTTGGTGCAGTGTGTCATATTTGGTTTGTTTTTTGTTTGTTGTTTTGTGCATAGATCGGACCGTTGGTTTTCTCGTTTGAGCTGTTTTACATGCGTCATTTTGGGCCTTTAATAGGTTTTAGTTTGGGTTTTGTTCATTGTTGAAGGTCGTACTGTGACCTGTAGGTCTTAAGTTTTGCGTCAAATGGTCTGTGGTGTGGAGTTGTCTCATTGGCAATCATACCACATCATCTTAATCTTATAAGTTAAAAATATGTTATAATTGAAAACTACTTTTTTTTTATATTCATTCAGATAAAAAGTGCTGTGGTATAAAGTCATAAGCAAGAAGATGAAGCCAGCAACCACGGGGTCGATACCCATGTCGCCAAATTAGTTCAATAAACAGTGGATATTATTTTCAGTCAACTTCTAGAAAACATTTTGACAAGCTATGCCATTAAGCGTTGACCTCTGTCTAGTACAAATTGCGTCTGGTGTTGCAATCACTATGTTTGTATTTAGTAATGAAGGTGTCACAAAAAGGTTCTATTACGGGGTGTGACTTTAAGTTAAAGTTTACACACAAACATTGTCCATTTTGTATTTGCATGAACCAAGTGGCTTTATAAAATTCTAATACATGTAATTAAAAAAAAGTCTAAGTACATGGTTCTTCGACTTAAAACTACCAGTGGGTCGATACAATTGATTCCAGAGTATCATAAACTATTGTTTTTTCACTCGCCTAAATGCGCATTAAAAATGAAAGGACAATGACAAACGAATGTTCCACGACAAACAAAGTTGAACAGTAAAATAGCTGACAATACAAAACTGTTGGACAAATCAATAATTAGTTCAACATCCAATGTCACGAGGAAATAAGACGTATTTACACATTAAATTATCACAGCAACAAACAGACAATTTATTTCTGTTATTCTTATTTTGATACGGAAGTATATGTCCGCTTCCGTTAATTATGTGTCTAATTCGTATGAAGAGGGAAATGTTTTTCTATCCTGAATATAAAAATAAGGAGAAATGGTATGGTGGCGAATTAAACAACCATACACACAAGTTCAAATGAAGTGGATAGAAGCAATTAAAGGCAACCGTACGGCCTTCACCAAACCATAAAGTCGGCTATAAAAAGCCCCGACATGAAAAATACGACACAATTCAGTATTATATAATACAATGAATAAGCGTTGATTCCTGAAAAGAAACCATGAGCCCGGAGGTCGAATGGTTTGTTTTTCATGAATCAATGCTTATTCATTGTATCTATAACTTAAACTATTGTGTTGATGTCTTTTAAAAAAAAAAAAGCCTTTTCTTAATTAGAAGGTATTGTAATTGAGTATAAATAACCCTGTTATCATGTTCAACGACGCATTTATAAATCAAAGTTAACAATTAATTGGTTAGAGAAATACAAATATAACACAATACGTCTGTCTTTAAATTATTATGTATCTGAGTATTATCCGTAATTAACAAAATAAGACATATTCGAACTTATTTTTAAGTATATATAATAAGTATGTTACCGAAATTTCTAGCAAGAAACCTAGTTCTAGGCACATCACAAGTTACCCGCAAAGGTATTTGCGAATAAACAATTATAAAGATATTTAGTAAAACAGAATGAATCATACTATATTTATAAAACAAAAATGGACAAATTGAATGTAATCATTTTTTTTTTCAAATACGTGAATTGGCCAATAATAATTCAATAATAAACGGAAAAACCCTCTATTATTACAAAAGTATCAACAGTAACATTTAAAATAAGAAAAACGGAAAAACCTAAAAAATAGGGACACAAAAAAGAGAAAACAGGGATTCGAACCTAATCCGACAAGTTTCTACCTTTAACTTAACTCTTTAACTCATTGATTTTAACCATGCGACTACCAACTTATACTGTACGATTGTCTATCATGTATATATAAAGGTACAAACCCTGTGTGTCCGTTGTACCGATGTGTATCATATGTTCATTTATATATATATAATAGACATCTAAATTGCCACCCATTGGTAGCCGAGAGGTTTCGTCGATGTGTTGATGTCAGTCACACATAACAGATTTAAAGGAGGGGTTTGATCCCTAGTGAAGGCATATAAAAATTACAAAAGTTAAAGGTAAGTTTTTAAATTAATTCCATTAGTGAACAGAAATCAGTAAATTAGCCAATTCAAACTTAATGAAATAAGGAACACAAAGGAAACAATTGAATATAATTTGGTGAGTTCATTTCAGCGACAGAATTAGGAAGCGTAGATTCTAGAAAAAGAATTCACGGTAAATGAATAGGCTAACGTTACGGCAATGGTTTAAATAGATAAACCTAACGGCCTAATTTATAAAAAAACATTTACCTAACCTGGGATAGTGGTGTAACATTGGTGTTACAGTGGTCCTGTTGTTGTTTTCGTTAATTTAAAAAAAAAATCATTTGCAGTAGGAAATTATCAAGTCTGGTGACCACGGAAACTTCTAGAACACTGTAGAAGGGAAACTTCTAGAAAAATTTAGATGTTTAAATTACGCATCGTAGATTATAATCATGATGGAATTAATAGTCAAATAGAAAGTTCTAATAATTCCATCAGAAACTACGATTGTATCAGTGATTTCTTAACTACAGAATAACATAATTTTGTTAACAACTATAAACAGGCCACAACCCAATAATGTAAATATCGTATAAGGCCATACAAAATAAATGAGGACAAGATAAATAATCATAATAATTGCAATCTCATAACAATATACATTACAATTGGCGTCAGATAAAAAATAGATTATGTAAACGTTTTGCAGGAACGCTCACCATGTGATCCTACTTACCAAAAGTAAGGTGTTATATTGCAAAATATTTAATCTTTACAGGCACTTCATATTTTTAATAAAATCAAATGTCGTATGTCTTAACATAGGCCTTCATCTGGTCAAACTAGACTAAATGTCATAACCTTAAGCTATTAATACCAAATTTCATCCAAGAGACACTGTAATGGTAAAGGATATAATTTTAATTCAAATAGTTACGCCCGCAAACAATTAATATGGATAAATCGGGAAAACCTTGTCAGAATGAATGTGCCTTTTATTTATAGA